TAAAGGCATTGAGTGATGGCATTGATGAGCTTCCAGGGCGCCGATAGCTTGTGCCTTCCACCAGTGTTTGTTGAGGAAAGCAGAGAACAAGACTGGTCCCGGTGATGTAGTTCATCAAATGAGTGCATGGAAAGCGCACTATCGGAAGTAGAGCACAGTCATTGACGGATTCTATGATATCCACTGACAGACCATCTTGATTAGACAGACGTGTGAAGCTGTGCATGTCTTGTGTGAGTCTGGAGGAGGTCGTGAGCGTTAGGGGGATTTGGCCACTGATGAAGTGGGTCATAGGGCCCGTATTTGCTTCATCCATCTGAGAACAGCTTATTTGAAATGTCATTGAATATCCGAGAGTGCCCATGAAGAACTCCACCACATGAGTGACCATGTTTTTTGGTGTGAAGATGTCAATGTTTCTCTCATCCATCCATTTCCCGGCATGTTTTGTTCCCTGAAGGCACAAGGAAAGAGCAGAAATGCCGCTGACCACTGAGCGGGTCTTGATAAGAACACATAGAAACTCCTGTACCATATCTCTTTGATGGATTGTCCGTTGAGAAGGTGTATGATGCGGATCCATGTGAGTCTTGAGCTCTAGATAGAGCCTCTCGCGCAGTATGCTGTGTGCTAGGTATGACCACAGTCTACATACCCCTGTGAGGGTATGTAGAGCTAGCAGATCGCATTGGGAAAAGACTAGCTGAAGAATGTCGACAGTTTCGGCGAATCTGGCTTGTATTGATGGAGGTCTGAGGTTGTGAGCTTAGATGAGGACAAGTTGAATATGCAGAGCCCTCACAAGCTCATTCCATCCTCCGCCATTATGGGAAACTGACTCATCAAGATGTAATGAGACAAAGTCGTAGTAGCAGAGAGGTAGTACAATAGAAGTATCAGAATGCCCAGTATGACAACCAAAGTGGGGAGCACCTGCTGCTCTGGCCATCCTGTTCTTATATACAATCTGCAGTGTGTTCATGGGTTCATGAATTGTCCAGTTGAGTCCAGGGTCAGGTTGATTTGCAATCTTTTAGGATACATTAATGACCCAAAGTTATAGCAATCAAGCAGATGTTTGCAGTGTAGATGATTTGATTAGACGGGATTGGCAGTTGCGGGAACCTTTCAAACCATTTTATTGAGAAATGCCACTCTGTGAATCTAGTAGCTCGGATGAATTTGTGCGGTGCTTTTGCTGACTGCTTATTCAGTGGCTTACAGAACACAGAAAAGAATATATACACTGCTCTAATAGTTGTGTCTGATATGATAGAGCGGATTAGTGACCGGGAGGGGGTGGGGGTTTGGTTCTAAACGATGTAGAATTTCTTAGGCCGCAAATTCTTCCTGTCAGTTGGCTCTGAGGTCGTAGAACAAGTGACGGAGGCATTGAGTTAGACGACGCCGCCTGTCTCGATGACATTGTAATGTTTGGTATTGATCATTTGCGGCTTCTAGGGAGAATAGGGAAGACTTTTTTCTCTAGTGCTAGTTTGACCTCCCGTTCCACGATCTTGTGGCTAATTCCCTCACTTGTTCTTTCTTTGGCTGTCGGATAGAACTCCCTGATTCTCTGCCAAACACCCTTGCATTCATCACGATGCATGATCCAGTGTCTGTCAGGAGTTTTGTAAGTGAAACGATTCCATGCAGTCTTTGACGAAGAACTATACCGTGATTGGCACTCGCTTGAAGCATAATATGCACGTTTGCAGCCTTTGCATGCCTTTGCATGTGTTGGCATGGCGCATTTACTTCCGCAAGCACAGTGCTGTGACAGATATCGGCGAAGCACCGGCCGAAGTTGGAGGAGTCGCTTTTGACCGGCCGTTAGAGGATGATTATCATTTACTTGTACGAAAAGAGAGGCTGCACGCAGCTGAGCGTCAAGTAGACGATCTGGTTTGCATAACCTGACCAGATGAGGCCACGAGTATGCGGAGTTGAATGTATCCTGGAGCATGTTGTCCAGTACTGTCGTGGCCAAAACATCGAACGATGCTCCGGTGATAAGCTGACGCTTTGCTTGTGATCTCAAAGTTCTGGAGGTATAACTCTTTAGTACATAGCACGCGACTCTAAGAGGACAGTGACTTGCTTGTCTTCGGGTACTACAGCTTTTGTTAGAATGGCGAGCACATCAACAAGCCACTCGGACACTATGCCCGTAGACTGTCGACCCCGACATGCCATGCTAAGAGTCTTGACAAGTTTCTCCAACGACGAGCTAGATATTCCCTTTGTCCGCCTGTTGGTAGGAATGTTCTTGATATCTCCCCGCTGTTTTACCAGTACTATTTGATGCAATGCCACTATTGCGGCAAGGGCAACACCCATTTGAGTCACAAAGGCATCATACTATCGTTTTGTGTGGTCAGTGATGCCATGCAACAGTACGCCAATACACGATACTTGCAGCAGATCCCAGTTTTCCGACGGCCCTCAAGAAATGTTCCACTGGTCCAGCAACACGCTCGACATCAGGAACAAGGTTAATAGCGCGAGTGATATGCGTGTTGCTATCGATATCATAGAAGTCCTCGTAGATGAGAGCCAAAAGCGCCAGATCCTCCCGCAATTCTCGTTCATTGCTAAGCTGTGGTGCAGAATTGATGATCCACCAGCATGTATCCGTCCAAGACATGTTTATGATCAAAATCAGCCATAGAACCTGGTTTCTAGAGGCACGGCGAGGCCTTCCTAGCAGATCTTGTACAGATGTCTTTGAGTAAGATAGCGTGATAACTCTGGGGATGGGCATCGTGAATGGCGTAGCTGCGAGAGGTCCAGGATGAGCTTTTGGTGGGCGACTTCAGCCCGCCTTTATAGGCAGAATAGCCTGCGCTGGGATGCCTCATTTCTGTTAGCCAATTAGTACAATGTGTCAAGAACATCATGTGTACAAGTTCCCCGAGGGTGATCGGGGGGTTCGACTTTTGTCTTCTTATTTGTTTATCCAGATCTACTATTGGGAGCGAGCAAGCTTTGACCACTTTGAGTCGCATTGGTGCTCAACATAGAGACTTCAGGTTACTCATTGGCCACACTATACGCGAACTTAAGTCATTGCGGTAGCTCTCATAAGAGTGGGCAAGTCGTGGTGAATCACGAACCTTATAAGGCTTCCAGCTCTTACATGCCAAGTAGAACTTTTTGATTTGACCTGAGTGTCATAGGTTTTGAGAAGGACCCTCGCAATACCCCAGTTTGATTTTAGGACACAAGTCACTGTTAATTATGCAGCGTTTACAGCCTGGCTACGACATTTCCATGTTTCATTGTGCTCCCACATGGTCAACCTTGTATCTGAGTACAGGTAAAGTCATGGCTACTCCACCCGCATGATGTCAGCCGATTGTACACGTTGTCTTTCCCGTCGGGTCAAGTCGGTTTAAAGGTGTCCGAGACCTATCTCCATGCCGGGCTGTCCCGATCCATCCTTTGCCTCTATTATGGGTGGTCCTCATGACTTTCGATACAAGTACAAAGGTCCTAACATTAAGAGAGCATGATAATTGGCATACTCTCATAACCTATCTAGAAGCTCTGTTTGTGACAGCTAGACTAGAGCTATAAACTGCTTAAATACGACTAAGAATCTGTTTCGACAGGACGTGCGAGGATCTGTACGGCGGACAGATTGAATGAGAGCGACTTTCCTTTTGACTTCTGATTGCTGTACATAGTAACCGTGCTGTGAACAGCCACAAAGGAGCCCACAGGTACCTCACGATTCCAAGATGGATCAACACGTGCTCTCTGTGTCAATATGTCTTCGGCATCGAAAGAGACATCGGGATCCGATAAATGTTTATCCGCATTGAACACTGGAACTGTTGCGCAATGAGACTGTAATCAATATTGAGACTTGTTCCCGACTTACTGGTGTCTGTGCCTTCATGTGTTCGACGTTGAATGTCCGGGTGTACCCTGCCGCGCTGCGACTGGCCCCGTCCAGCAGCTTGAATGAAGTCGTTCCCAAGTCTTTTCTCTGCGATCAGGATCAGATTAGCTCGTAAGAATGGATCGAAGGGCCTGATAACTAACTCTTGGATTCCGGATTGCCAGCTTCGTCAATTGTCGTGTGTTTTGTGGAGAATGTGATACCACCTTCATCTGTGATGAGCAGTGAAATGACTTTGCCACCTGCAACCATTGAAAGCATTGCTAAGAGCCGTTCACCCTCTTGTGCAATCGGTATGATCTCGATATCCTTGAGTTGACGAGTTCCCATGCTGGCGCTGTAAGTACGCCCCTCGATCACGGTGCTTTGCATTACAAAACCAAAGATAACGACGTCTGCAACCTCCCCTCCTTTTTTAAAGGAGAGGATGGACTGTTGGCCTATAGCTTTGAAGACAAAGTCGCTTGGATCGTCCCGGGCTGGGTTTGTGATGAATGCAGAGGCAATGCGAGGTACTGTCACAAGAGATCGGAGACGCCTAAGAGAGGTTATGTTCGTCAAGCCATCTTAGAGGGGGTTGGCAAAACACTCACTGCAGGTCGTTGCCTTGCTGGAACTGTTTACCAGTGAAAAGAATACCAAGGTTTGCCCCGGACAGCTCATTTGAGCATGCAATTTTTGATGATCTTGAAAACAGGTATGTAAGTAATCATGTGTTCTGGCCGACAAGTAGTCTTACTTCAATGGCTCAAGATCATGATATGTCCCGAGAAGCGGACCCGTCTGCTTGGACTCGTCAGTTACTTCACATCCGCGCTCCTGAGGAGGAACCGTCGAGCGTGTTTGCTTCGAGTTGGATGAATCATCTGCACGATTGGGTGTTTGGGAAGCTGGATTCTGATCAGCCTGCTTCCTACGAGAGGTAGAGCGCTTTTCCGAGATCTTTCTTTGTGCTGAGTGCGGTCCATCATTGTATTCCACATCCTCCGTTGGGTTCTTGCGATGTCTGTACCTTGACGTTGGTGCATTCGTGTGCTCAACTTGAGAAGCAGGCGTTTGGCTGATTAGAATATCATCAGATGCTGAGCTCCAACTAGAGCGAGGGAACAAAGACAAACCGCTTCAGAGGACGAGACACAACTTCTTCGTCAGAAGATTGGTCCCATTTCACCCTTCAGCAAAGTTAGATGAATATTAGAAAACTGATCAGAGCAGGACCGACCGCTTCCTCGATGGCTTGGACGACTGGCTTGAGACACTGGCAGGAACTGGGCTATTGATATCGCCTCAGAGTCGAAACCGGGCAGGTATATAGTCCGGCAGAAACATACCTTTCCTTACGCCAACTGACAGTACGTTTTTTGTGACTCGCCGCATCCAAGCGGATGTTGTCAAAGTGACTGTTGTAGTCAAGACCATCCTCATTTTCCTGCTCGTTCTTCAGGATGATATCACGCTCGTCCTTGTTGAAAGCCCGTTCTGCATCTCCGGATGCGATCTTTCCTCCGTCTTCGCTTGAACTCCATTCAATAGCTTCGTCGTCGATGAATCCTTTCAGATTCCCATTCTGATCAACCTCTTCATCGCTCATATTTTCATCTCCATCGTGCGAGTTACGTGGATCAGTGTTGTAGTCCTTCATCTGGACGTCAGTGTCGACGCCTGAATGATACCCTTCGTCGGAGTCTGATAGCTCAATCGCGTTGGCATTGCTTGTGAAGGCGCGCCCCGCACGACCTCGTTCTATAGCAGCTCTGTTTAAGGTAAGCGACGTGCACCTGTACATTAACCGTTCACTTACTGCTTCTGATGACGAACCGGCCTAGGGCGACTAGTGAAGATCGTAAGAAAGGTTTCTGCAGCAGGAATAAAGTTACTTGCGGCGGGGCACGAGGACGACTAGTTTTCGAAGATTTATGCCTAAACCACTGTCAGTAGTGATCCACTTGATATAGGATAACTGTGTACTTCATGTGCTCAATCATCACAGATGTATTTCCCTCAGCATCAGAGCCTTCATCAGAGCAATCGCTCAAATTGACCGCTTCTCTGTGTACTTAAAGTTAAACCAGATCGCAAGCACCACAAGGAAAATCTCGCCACTAACCTGAAAGATGTGGCTTGGTTCTCTGGATTGAATGATTCCGCACTACAACATGTGTCCTTAGCATATAAGCTCTCATAGAAATAGAAGAAATATCCCTACTCCGCAGTGCCGTTCGCTTCGCCCTTGTCACCAGCCGTGGCGTCAAGCCTATCAATTGTTCAATGAGTACACCGCACACTTTGCGCTATGCCACGTACTGATTGCGCGAGGAGCGACGCGGGGTGCTGTTAGAGTGTCCTTGGACCGAAACACTGCGCATTAAGTCTTGCTCTGAACGGTGCTGAGGCTTGCGGGCAGACATTGTGAGCTATATATGCTAATGTGTATCAGGGGAAGCGTGCTGTCTGAATTGGAAGTGGGATGGAGGAGAGCGTTGGGGAAGGAACTCAGCTTATATAGGTGCCATTGAGGGGATCACACGCAATCAGTTCAGGCATATGTGTAGATCACTGTTGAGGCTGCTGATCAATCCATGTCTGATTTCCCTCAATTTGGTCTTACTAATCAAGTCAAGAGGACATCAAGCTGATGGAGACATCAAGATGCTACAAACTCAGCAAGTGTCTTCACCATGAAAGTAAAATAGACAAGTCAGTGTCTTGAAAGCTGGCGCAAATTCTCTGCAGGGCCTATGCGTACATCCGTGTGCCTCACTACTGTCATGATTGGTCGTAGAGTTTTGTACCCGTAGTCGGTTTGATGTCTGCATACGGACTTTCACATTTGAAAGCATGGTTCTTTCATCCTGATACATCCTATGTTACCGCAGAGGTAGTAAACTAGCTGCTGCGCTGAGCTGGGGCTAAAGCTATACAGTCTCAGCGGTACAAGAAGTCAACCTATGCATCGTTGCTTTTAATGTCCTGTGTGTTCTCTGAGTACTACAAGGCTGAGACACGTATTCAAGACACCAGTGTCCATCACACTATGCAACAACTCGTTTCGCCTTTTAAGACATTGCGATAGTCTTACATTGACTCCCACTCCACTCGACCATAAGCCATTTTGCCGACATAGACACGCCATTTTTACTGAAATGGCATATGATACGCATTGTAACACAGATGACTTTTTTCCTGTCTCCTTTCTCGATCATCGGCTTATTTCTGGTCACATGTTTGTACCATGCGGATACCTTTTCAGCCATTACCTGACCATACCGTAGTACCGAAGGAGCAGAGCGAGTAATTTATAGTGTGGACGCATTTCGACGCACAGTCAGCCCACGGTATGGTAGGGTTGGCGATCTGTGAGTATGACATGTCTTTACATCTGCCATGGACCGATGCTTATTTTATAGGGTGTGCTTTCATCCATCACGCAGTGCCAACGAGCCGAGCGACACTATGCCTCTTGGAGTGCTAACGTGGATCCAGCCAGAGGCAGATGTAGCGTCTCCTGATGAACGCATGGTATGCACGAACTGAATGTTTTTAAGCATTGCGCTGACCTCGAATAGTGTGAGGTTTGGCAAGTCTATACAAAGCGACGTCTTCGAATGCTCCTGGAAAATGGAGATGTTGAAAACTACGATGAGTTCGTTTTTATCTGTCAATGAGTGGAGTTGACTCTGACAATCCATAGTATGGGTCCAGACTTTGAGAGTGCATCCGCGTACACAGCTTGGCTTTCTGACACATATGACCTGCACTACGTGTGCGATATTCTCAGTATGTTATGGCTCGTGTCTAGTGGGGCCGCTTGAGCTGATTAGAATCAGCCATTCCTTCTACGAAAGAAGCCAGATGTCATGTTCGCTTCGCTCCATTCGACAAGTACTTACATATAGACATGGAGACATACACCTACAGGATAGAAACATTGCCTTCCAAAACTTAGATCCTGCATATCTGCATAGGTACAGCTACTCCAGCTACTATGCAATTCCGTCTTGTCAGCAAAGATGCTTGCGAGTTTCTGTAATGATGTAATTCCTACAATAGTATCTGATTCATAGCAAGCAAAAAAATTGCCAGAGCACCTAGATATCATACATGAGCGGCCTGTTACTCGATAGATAGACAAATTTACTGTGTGAATTCCTTCACAAACATGTAGAACTATCTTATATCGGCAATGCATCTGGTTGTAAGCGGTCTTACAAGTACAAAATATGCTTCTACATCAGGCACGCCTCACAAATTAACTGAACATCGACTGAAGCGAATGAGGCCTCCCAATTGCGTGTATTGTGCACGAAATACAATACATTGCTCATGCAGCCAACGCCTCGCGGTCAAGAGCATCCAATAGCTGGCTATCCATCTCATGCACTTTATTCTTCAGCTCATGGAGTAAACGCGGATACTCCAACAGAATGTAGCTGTCCACCCATTCTTGTGCACCGGCGTGCGTATCAAAGCCTTTGCCGCATGCATCGCTTACTCCTTTGGTTTGCTCAAGCATAGCCTGACTAGATGATGCTCGTCAAATAAGCAACCNGCGTAGAACTGATACTGATTGACGCCATGGGGAAGAACCTGCCCCGAGCGCCCCACAAATGTCTTTACGCTCGCCGTTCCTGTGTAGACGCCATATGACTACAGCTGGTGTACCAAGCAATGTTATCCTCACCATTACTGACGTCGGGCTCATTGACAGCGGTCACCATATCGGGCAGGTGATTGGGGAAGTGGAGGATGCTACTGAGCAGCTCCTTCAGCTCAGTCTTATATGCGAGCAGACGTCCGCTTTGGGAAGCTGGATACTCCTTGACTGATCATGTGGCCCTGGCTCTCTCAGGAGCGTAAATTATCTTGGTCACAATTTGTGCTGCTTGCTGACTGTGCTTATAGATGCTTGACATGACATGATCTCATCCTTGTCCTCTGAGTCCCATTCTTCCTGGGGACATGCAACTGTGCTGAACAGATCATTCCATCGAGGCACTGTGTGAGGGCTTTCGTGTGTTATACAGACCATATGGCTGGTCTCCAGGTGCTCAACATGCGACTATGAACCTCCAGCTGAAAATCTCAATTTCACTCCATTCAAATGGATGGAGCCGACTAACTCTATGCCTTCAAATTTAGTTAATGCACCTGGAAGAAGATCCAGATTCTCTCATTTTGACTCTAAGTTTGCAACACAGACTTCAGAATCAAACTTACTTCAGGTTTGTTAACTGGTAAAGGCCATCATTCACACTTCAGAACTTGACGTAGTGTTCTGGTCAGCTGGTCCAGAAAGTCGAACCTCAGCTCACAACAAACCCCTTTCTAACCGGACTTACTGCCTGTAAAGGATAATCTCTGAGGGTGTGAACTTGGGATCAAAATAAGACAGTAAATCAAGGTCTCCCTTTGATGATTTATCTCAAATGCAGCACATTGATCAATAGCTCCTACATGAGTTGCACTGCATATACAACACAACATGGAAGAGATCCATCTCTCCATTCTCAGGGCCACAGAAGATCACTATGAAGCTAATCCTGATCTGCTACACACTATGATGCTACAAAGGGTACAAATATCAGCTCAGATATACAAAACTGCATGATCCAGTTTTCTTATATTCCAGAACCATAGCCTGAGCGGATGTACATCATGATTGTGTCATAGCAGTTGCATGTACAAGTGCACATCATGTATTCAGATTAGATCAGCCCTGCACCTTAGTCCAAAAGATCATTTACAGGCCATGAATAGATGTCCATTATGAGGAAGCTTGTTGCCTTTGTGTACTTGATCCAGCGCAGATAAGTTCCTAGTATTTCAGGGTCTGATATTCTACCAGCACTAGGTAAGCACCAGGATGGATGGTCAGAGGCATAAGTCTCAAACAATCTATTTTTCCTCTACAAGGGCATCTCTTCATAGAGGTATACCAATAGTAATTGACAGCTGAGTGCAGCATCCTAGTGCGGAAAAGAGCCAGGCCAATACATGAAGCAATTCTGTTCACCAGGCAGTAACTGTATCATTTGCTAGCTCTCCCACTCCAAGGATTGCTTCCAGGTTCACAGACATGATCAGGGTATGCAAGCAGTCCAGAGGTAGAATACCAAATCCAGAACAGATTGCTGTGGTTTATTTCATCGATCCCTGAATCAAGCAGAATTGCAGCTCATGAGGTAAAGAACAAGGCTTAGGAGCAAGTTCTCCAAGGTTGTCTGTATCTAGCGTAAAGTTGCTGATATCTGTGCTTGTGAGTGACCTTGGCTAGCCCAAAATCCAATATACACCGGGAATGTGCAAGCGTGGTGGCGCCGAGCACCATTCAAAGGCTTAGTTGGTTTTGGACGGCTTTAGACCACATAGAAGCATGTACCAGCGCACTTAACAACTATGATAACAGGCAAGCCTTGGAGAATCTTGCTCTGAAGAACAGAAAAGCCCCTGTCAGTGAAGATAAATCTAGCCTAGTGCTCTAGAGAATACAGTTTTGCCTGCCAGAGAGTGAGACATTAAGCTGAACATCCAGAAGAGCTTTCAATAGACGGAGGCGACGAGACATGCTGGCAGCAGTGCAGATGACGAGCAACCACAGGACCGGGCAACAGCGCCTCAACAGAACACAGTCGGCATCGTGACACAGCCACAGAGTTACTGAAAGCATGAGTGGTAAATCCTAGGCAGGAGAGCTTCGAAGAGGAAGAGACGGTGGTGGTTCGAGTCCAACCACGCCAGCGAGATATTCGCCGCGACATCCGCGCGCGGTCACGTGAGATGCGCGTTGGCCAAGTGGGCGTTGAACTCTGCCATGCGTGACTCGCCAGTACCAATGGCTAATGCTTACCAGCCTATAAATAGTCACGTAGCCGTATATGGAAGATGTTAGGATACAGAAGGTACAATAACAGGGGGATCGAAAGTGACAACCCTCTCCAAAGACCTTGCCAATGCATTCAATTGCACCCCATGTACTCACTAAATGCTTAACAGACACGTACACTAAGACAGAGAGTCTTCATACCAGCCAATGGTATGACCTTCTCGGATAGCACGCGGTGAGGTCCGAGACTCTGCTCCCTCCGTTATCTTCTTTCCCCTTTTACGAGGTCGTTTTGTGCCGGGGGGTGCTGATAGATTGACCGTCCAGTAGTATCCACGCGTGAGCATACGATTTCCTTTCTCCTTCTCAAATAGGCGACTGAGCGATAGCTGGTGGCGAACAGATTGCTAGTAGCTGGTAATTAGATAGTGAAAAATGACATTTAACAGAATGCAAATGCCTTGAATCTGGTCTCAATGACTGAGGAAGACGCGAAATAAGGATATTTGCGTGTAAGAGAATCGTAGAGCTCAAAAAGAAGCAGTTTTTTCCCGGAGCTTCCAAGTATGGCGCAAGATATGAGGACAGACAGTGTGTAAATGGGCCGTTCATTCGTGTCTGTGAGGCAGGACAAAGAATTCGGACAGCCGGCATGACGAGTGTGTTCTCCGGTGCTGTCTATGTGTTGTCGAGGGCCGTTTTGAGACTCTCGTTGATTTCTGGCTGGCATGTGGATACTCTCAGCGCTTGACGAGCGGCTGGTTGTTGCATGAAATGTAGACGGCCCAGTAGCTGTGATCGGATAACTTGACTGCCTGTAGACGAGTTAACCAAGATAGCGCTCGCTGGCCGTGTTACGCTTACCTTCTGGTGCTGTCTATATACGAACTGGAGTGTTGCATGATTGACAGGGGGACGGGGGTCAACGGTGAGATGCATGATCTAATGGAAAACACTATTTAAGCGCATCTCAGACTCCTTCGGAATTAGACGTAATGACAGGTTCCTACTCAGAAATGAATGGACAGATTGGAGTAGCGTAAGCATACCTGGAGCGTCCAACTGTGTATTTGTCAAAAGAGCTACGGTTAACGCATATGATCGGCAATGGAATCCAGTGTAGGTCAAGCTGAGTTCACACAATTATTCTGGATTATATCCCTTACATGTCCCGCATATGGTATGAAGCGTAGAATGATATGCGATTGTGAAACGCAGCGCAGAACATAGTATATAGTAACACCACTATCTTCTCTTCTTGCGCGGGCGCTCAGCTATTGCCGATCGAGCGCTGTCATCTCCATCTCTACAGCGCTTGGACCTCGTCGGAGCCGCAATCTTTGCCTCCGGAACGAATGGCCTCGATTCGAGCTGAAAATCTTGATCTCCATCGCTGTAGTCCTCGTCAAGATCATCTCCTACGTACTCCTGGTTGTCTTCATCTGCAAGCTCATTGACCTCGGATGGTTCAAGCACCTGATGATCACATGCAGAAACCTTCTCCGCGTAACGACTCCCAGGTGCCAAGTTGAACTCGTCGATCTTCTCTGTGGAAACTGCTGACCACAAGTGTGCTCTGCTGATTGAAGCGTCCCGCGGTTCCCAGGATATGGCAGGAAAGATGTCGTAGTTGAAGTCTGCAGGGAGGCGAGAAGGATGGAGCCTATCGATGCACCCCAGAACATCTGCAACGATGTTGACGTCCAGCGTAAAGGCGGCCGCGAGACTGCGCACTACACGCTCGTAGACAGTTGCTGCTGCACGGCATGGGAAAGAGGTATTGGATGCACCCCTGTGCCCGTGATGACGCTTGTTGCACCGATGAGCTAGCGACACCAATGCCGCCGCGAAATGAAAAGCGACGTCCACCATTCCTCCGCATGTGACATCGTCGTCAGTGTACTCTGAGCGAGAAAGGCCAAGCCTTCTCGCCAGTCTGATCGAGTACGGCGTGGGGGAGTTCAGTCTTGAGCATGAGATTGTGCCCTTCAAAGTCGAAGACCACCAGATGAGGCCGAACGAGCTTCTGTCAGAGCGCAAATACGAGGATTGACTAGCAGCGCAGTCGCTCATTGATAGCGTCTCTGTGTGTATCAGAGCACACCCGAGTGCAGCAAATACGCGAACTGCAGTATTTGGGTCTCGAACAGGGTCGGGCATGGTTCGAAGTGCTGTGAAAGACATTTAGAAAAGGACAGAGTACTCGGACAGCTTCCAGATTCAGAATACTTACCTACTGCATCCAAATCACCGAGACCCTTTCTTCTCCTGATGAAACAAGAGCGCCATAACGTTGCATGCGCCTGGATAGCTGATAGAAAAGCTGAACCGTGTGACGGGTGCGGGTCGTGTCCAAAGCAGACCGTTGACACGAATACAGACATAGATGTCAGGAAGAGTTTCGGGATTAAGAATCGCTTGACAAGCTTGATTGCGTCCGCACTGGTATAGGTTGCTTTGATCATAGCCGGTCCAGCAGTTCTGATAATACGTCAATTATCACAACATCAGGAAGAATCAAGTAAAATCCCCAGAGAACGTACATGAGGTCCCCCTTTCTCTGAATCACTGGCTCCCATAACCCCCCGCGACAAGTGTCACCAGCAGCATACGCGCCGAAGCGAAGGTCACAGATAGAATGAGCGTCAACGTTGTGGGTCCACACAATTTCCTCGCCCTCGACAAGCCACGTCATTGTGCAGAAACCAGTGGCATCGACATGTGGCAAGCGCGAAGAATGCTCCTGGGATATCTGTGCACTGCGCATGCAACGACGTATCTTGGCGTCAATCAATAGCTCGTTGTCGCCTGCATTGTGGCGACAAGCGTTTTGGCGATGCAGATACGCGGCCTCGCATACATCCTCACTGCAGTCATGCATTAGCCTTGACTCAACCAAGGATAGTAGTTGGCTCACTCTGAATGCGGAAACACTGCAAAGTCCGACTCCTGCGGCAGCTCAAGCGAGGAGTAGACCCTGTTACGATCCCTGCAGGCATCGTTAGCAAGATAATTGACGTCAACCGTGATAGCGTCCAAGTTATTCCAAGACGAGGCTTCCGCGGTGAAGTCTAGTTCTGCATTTAGTGGAACGTAGCGCGCGATTTTGACAGCAAGAAGTACCGATGACCTGAACAAGATTTCCTTTGCAAAGTCTATGTGCAGTTTGCTCGTTGAAGGCAACGTCGTCCATCTTGATGTTTGTGACCACAATGGTCGTTCCCTTCGCCAAGGAGTCTTCAATTTCAGGCCATTGTTTGCCCCGATACTCCTTGTCTGAGTCGAAGGCAAGATTCAGGCCACGCCGCTGGGGTGATAAGGCGCTGAATCTATTTGATGCCTGTGCGAAAAAGTCCCTCCCATTGCCTCTCTAGAAGAAAAGCAAGAACAAGTCAGAAAGCGTCTCATGTTATACAGGGCCAGTGCGTACCATTGCACCAGCAAGAGTCACTTTCACCTTCCAAAAGGGAAGCTCTCCAGACACGCGGAGCCACTCGTGGTCAGACATCTTCTCACCATTGCATGTCGGTACGTCTCGACCGTACGCAATGATCTAGAGCGTCAAGTAAGCCAAAGCAATCTACTGCGTCTCAATCAATGTAGGGAATGCGTACCGTGATGGATTCTTTTGCAGAATCAAAGGTGCACCGATTCAGAGGTTTGGGATTAGAAGAGGATAACGAGCTAATTTCCAGTCTGGAAAGTCGCTCATAGCGGTCAAGAGCACTTGCAGCTGTTGTGCGTCTCTGCGCCCCGCCCCCTGTGTCAGAGAAGCGAGACTTCGAACGACGAAGGCTCCGATTGTCTTCGAGTTCCACAGAGTGTGCTTGCGGTGTTTTCACTTGAGCGAGACTTGTGTCTGATGGGCGGCGACTAGGGAGGTGCCTGATTGAAGAGTCCTGAGAGCGTAGTGAGTATAACCTTAACTTCACTCTGCGGTCAACGTATGACCTACCTTCGCTGAGGTCTTAGATAGCGCACTAGTGGTGCTGCGAGCAGCTTGACATCCATCACTTCCTGTGCTAGGCGGTACAGGAGCGGGAAGCTCATCCGCGACATCATTATCGCTCGCCGGCGATACATGCCTAGACTACATTGCGGAAATGACTTAGCAAGCGCATGGAAAAGTAGAAAGGATGCCACGCACTACACGACTCTCCATAGCGGAGGAATAAAGTGCGCTCTAAAAACGCATATAAAGACCAAAGGTCAGCTCACAAACTTCACTAGAGCAGAACAGACTGCTCACAGTAGACTCTATGACAGGACTGCCCAGCGCGTTGGAAAAGCTGTCGACTGTTGAATGGGAACTCTGCGAAGCCATGAGAAAAAACAAGAAATAATGATCCGAGACAACGTACTGGTATGTTCAGCCGGCGGCAGATGTTGTGACCAACATCATCGGCTCTATTGCACAAACCGATAACATCTGGATCAGGATCTGCGCCTTCCAAGAACAACTGTTTCCAATCTTCCTCCAGGTAAGCTGCTCCCAATGTCTCTTGAACCAAAGGTGTACGGTCAATCGCAAGGAGATTAGACTCTGCTGATGTGACCCATGACTTGAAGTGATGTACAGCCTCCCGAACGGTGTCGTAAGTGACGACCTATCAAGCAAAGAAATGAGCACGACGTTTCATCAGTCTGATGCAAAGTCACACTGCACCTGAAGACAACCAACGCTCGGGGTCTCCTTTGGAGACGAGAGTGCACAGAAGAATGGAGAAGGCGAAACCGGCAAAGACATGTTGTGATCCTGAGTCGACAGCCCGGGAACAGCAACAGGGCTGAACAGATCAACACTGGTGTCAACAAGCATCCTATCATCGACAAATGACAACCCCGACAGATCTAAGTCAGTGATGGCGTCTTCCAAAGCGGAGGGAACCTCGTATGGTGGATCGTGAAATGCGTTGTCAGGGTTGGTCGCAAAGTACCCGTTCAGCTCTGTCATTGTCGTGGGGTACGCGACCTCGCCGTCTATTGGAAACGAAAGACTGTCGAAGTTCAACGTGTCTAGAGTCGGCGCCTGCAAGTAGGGATCCCTGTTGAAATCCGCTGTGCTGGACTCGAGAGATTCGTCAACCAGTCCAATGTCAACATTCTGGCCAATTGATGCAAGCACTTCCCCCATCAGAAGCCCAAACTGATCGGCGAGAGGCTCCTGTAATGCGGCGTTATCCACAGGCACTCCCTCCAGAGAGACGCTTTCCATGTCAATATCTAGCGTGTTCTCCTGCAGCGAGTCTGCAAATATATGATAGCATGCAGAGAAATGCGTCACGCTCAGCAGATGACACAGAGTAAGGTAGAGAAGTTACTAACGAGTTGTGGTCGTGCAAAGCTCAAGCGTCAGCACAATCCTATCCAAGGTCATGATCTTCGCATCGTCCAATCGAATCCGCTCCTGAGTCACTGTAACAAAATTAGGACCCATATTTATATACTGAGAGATCACCCACTGTCATAGACCATATCTGAAGGCACCGGAATGCCTGTCAAGCATAGCAGGATCAGCAGAGTAACTGCGGTATCATGTGAGCACGAACCAAAGCGCTTCCAGTCCGAAGGGATATTGACGACGGGTCTGCCGTTGAAAGCATCCAAAAAATACAGGCGGTCTGCAGATTCAAGGAGGCTAACTTGACTTTGGAGAGCTTTGGCGAGCTCCTGAATGCCGGTTTGGAAGTCAAAAGCATCCGAATCCCTCGCAGTAGCTGCGTTAATTACGAATCCTCCAACCAAGGCTTCCGTTGCTGACAGAGATTGAGAACGGAGCGGAAGTCGTTGCCAGATCTATGCCGCCAGTTAGTGTATTGTCATTGCACGTGAATATGTAACACCACCGCACCCCGACAAGATGCTCAACTTGAACATGGCTGGAGACACTCGATAATGGCTGACTGCTGAGTAGTGCCAGTGGAGATACAAACATGCACCAGATAATCGGAAGGAGCCACTCTGTTGTAGTCTTGGCATTCGCCATGTAGCTCGGTCTAAAATGCGCGTCAGAACATAGAGTACCAGCCAGAATACGCAGCCTAACAGTGCGACACCGTGTGCAGCGGCCTCATCTTGTATCTTCTGAGGCAGACTCTGCAGGCTCCCTACCGACATCCCGTCGACCTCCTGCACATACACCAATCAATGAAGCTTCAAAGATCAAGGGAATATAACTTAACGTACCCATACTAGATGTCTCAATACTATTGATGCCACGCACAAATTGGTGCATGCGATACCAAGAACCGTGCCGCGTAATGCAGCATTCAAAGCCTCGTATAACCGGGCGATCTGGCGATCAGCGTGTCTCACAACGGGTGTGTGGGCAACGGAATTGCACCAGAAGATGACAGACTGGACCCAATCACCCAGTGTTGCGTGAAGTGCCTATGAGTATTCCGTGAGTTAGGGAAATGACGAGCGAAGATGCGAGAAATCAAGACCTGGTACACCTCGATCGGCAACCCTCGTGCTGCTTGAGTCCCAGCCTCACACGCAAAGCATCCGCTTATCCGGCTACGCGATCGCTCGAGCACATTGCTGTAGGCGACTTCGGTGCACCAATCAATGCACCTCAGTTGCACTACCGGCTCAAGGTACGCAATAGCGTCGCAATTACGCGATTTGCCAGCGAGTGTAGCACACTCCATGAGTGCAATATGATGGATGGGTATGCGATCTTGCGGCTCGAGCGCGAACTTTCGCACAACTTTACGCTGATTGCTTTTTTTGCCTTGATCTGTCGATGTAAAGAACAGTTTCTGCTCTGCATCGTCAAAACGATCACAGGCTTTCTGAAAACATTCACGCATATCAGTTGGCAGAACACTATAGCAGTAACATTAAACGCTCACCAACAGCCATGGTGCTACTGATATGGGATGCGAGAGCTTCTCGAGAGCTTCGTGAAGCGATAACTCGCTGGAAGGTACAGAGCATGCGAAAGGTAGCGCCTGGATGACCGGGCTTTGTGACCTCCACCCTCGCGTGTCCGATCCCTGGATTTGGCGCACAGCACTCTCGAGGAGTGGACAATTATAACAAGAGGTAGCATTAAACGGGTTTTGGAGAGGAGAAGCCATGGTTTAGAGCTATCAGGCGTACAGGCAAGGTTGGGCAGGAAGGAGAGAACACCTTTGTTCTGTTGATGCATCTTATAATAGTAAGTTCGTCGTCTGAAGGCTCGTCGACGACCGTGACACTTACCCGGGCCTGAATTGGAGGTATCTCGACATAACGACACGTGCATTGCGGCGATCTGCACAAATGTCAACAAGAAGGTCCACACGCGGGCCACAAACAAATGGGCGCTCTGTCAAAGCGCCAGATACACGAATATGCGCGGAGGGATTCCAGGCGACACCTACACCAATCTCAAAGATCTGCGTTAGTATGCCCCACAGCGTGTTGAGTGACCTTTGCTATCTTGGCAAAGTATCACGATAGCGCAAACCACCAAGACGCAATAGCCCGGCGCGCCTATTCTCCTGTCAACTGCAACTGAATATACCACGAACTATCATACACGAGAAAGAACAAACTTAGCCCGCCAGGCATAATGGGCAACGAATTGTCGGAATCAAAATGTGGACAGATGTTGCCGGAGGTGTCTTACCGGATCATCGGGCCCGGTGCCACACGCTTGCACGTGCAGCGGAGCAACTCGGCATGGAGGCAGCAGCTCGCGACCTGCATGCCGGCTTCGTCCGATCAGTGATGATTGACTAATAGCAATCTCGTAATGTCAAGGAAGTTCATCTTGAACATCTACTCTCTGGCATCCCTTAAATAGTTGATCTCTTCAAGGGGCAGAGGCGCCGAATACGAGTGTGAGTGACCCACCGCTCATAGTATGGACCACGATGGCTACGTCCGCACACATCCTCACGTCAAAGCCATGTTCTTCATCAGAAGTATATCCTGCACACGACCACCTGAGTGCTGTATAGAATCCTATTATACATGCAATGCTACGGAGGAATCGCCTCACACTCTTCTATGACTCAAACAGAGAAGAATAGCTGTTGCCGTTCGACCATGTCTGCTCTGAGTAAATATATTCCCCTGTGATAAAATTGATCTCGGGAATGGTACACTGTGGCCATCATTGCCGGGGTGCAGTCCTCTCAAAACAGATTGAGAACAATGTAAGCAGCGAAAGTGTGTTGCTAAGCTTGCTTAATCATGACAGAATTGCCCTTTGAGTGCTTCAATCTAAGAGCAAGCGATAGTGACTGAGCATACTTGGAAGATATTACCAGCCATTCAAAGCTTTCCCAAATGCTCGTTTCTGCAAACGTTTACTCACTCCAGAGCATCTGGTTGGACAATGCTGCCTGTGATCAAGACTTTTATCACCTTTCAAGAGTCTGGGATAATCTAAATCTTCTGCAGACCTCACAGCAAGCGACCGACTGGGGCCCCTGCGTGAGGTTCCTCAATGGTGTATACCATACCCTGAATTGGAGATTCTTTCGGTCAGTCGGCTCTGACAGTAGTGGGGTGAATGACAGAGGCGTCTGGTCGGATGGCAGGGCCTCCAATTAAGACTTCAGTCACCATTCAAGTGCGTAGGATGGTCTACATCGCCTAAGAATCCGATGGCAAGTAACCCTTCTCTGCTGGGAAATATCATCATTTACATTCCCTCAATGGGCATAGTCAGATCAAGGTCTCAGAAGTGTATTGCGGATTCATGAGACACTACTTCATCCCGGCAGCCTTGAGTGGTGAGTGTCCGATTTTTAGCAAGCGAATTCTTTGCACTGTCAACTAATGGGTTGAAAGACAGATGTAAGAACTATACGATGCTCACTTATTATTGCCTCCATTGGCACCTGCGTTAGGCCGTCCATTGGCCAATCTGGGATATAAGATTCACATTGCAAGGTGTGTAGAAAGCTTTGAAGTATCAGAAAAAACTCAGGCTGTTCGCAAATCCGTGTACATACCGGCCAGAGAGTCCTAGCAGATCTCGTCTAGGTATATCCATCATGTTCTCTTGGGCGCAGAGCCACCATACATCGCACTGCAACAGCATCACTATCATCTGTTCGTGCAAAAATATCAAGTGTTCCTCACAAGTTGGCTTTCAAGACGCTTGCCATCTTCCATTAGCTGCACTGCAATTAAAATGCCCAGCCAACAATGGCTCCCAGAGCAGGTCTCGAGTATAACACTGTTTCTTACAGTCAAACTACGTTTGGGAGACAAGGATTCAAGAAATGCTGGCTTACAGGTCACCTACATCACACGTCCGGTTATTGAAGACCCTCTCTTTTGCGTCGATGGATGTCTTGACAAGCGCAGACAGAGTACTGACATACAAGCTCCTATTAGCCCTGAACATAGTAATTGGTTACACAGACATACACTTCATAGTGGATAAAAGGCAGGTCAAGCAACAACATTGGACTGTCAATGGATGACAGAGGCATTGTTAACCAGGTGCTTGCTAGTGATCCATCCAGAGTCTGCCTAAATAAGAGCTTGGTTTGATATGCTTGCTGACAGAACCTTTGCCCACCATGGAAGAATAAAAGCACGCATGCTGACTCTGGGAGTGTAAATTTGTAAACAAGGGAAGTTTGCAGAGTTCAATTGAGAGCATACTAGGTTGATGGGTCAGCGGAACTCGGCATGAATTATAACATATTGATTGCTGTTCACCTGCCAAAACCTACCCTTATGACTCATGCATTCAGCAACATTGGTAGAGAAGGTGAACCTAGCAAGTGACCATGCTAATCGAGACGTAAGCAAGAAAGCTTGGATCATATTGTGTTATAATGGAAGGAATGTAGCAGGCGGGTCATAATAGAGAACAAAGAAGACAAACGGAAGAGATAGCATATACAGAACGCCGGACATGGGAGGTAAGTTGCAGAATGACAGAGCAAGAGAGAGCACCCGTACATGTGCAGATACTAACTAAACACATGATCTACGTCATTCTGATACTCAGCGCCAAAGTACGGAGGTATGAGTGAAGATTTGAATATATGCGCCAGTCATTTATATGTTCTATAGAAGTGCTAGATCACGATCAATAGCGTTCGATAACTGGATATCCATCTCATGAACCCTATTCTTCAGCTCCTGTAGCAGACCCGGATACTCCAACAGAATGTAGCTGTCCACCCATTCTTGTGCACCGGCATGTGTATCAAAGCCTTTGCCGCATGCATCGCTTACTCCTTTGGTTTGCTCAAGCATAGCCTGACTAGATGATGCTCGTCAAATAAGCAACCCAAGAGCGATAGAGTATCGACTCACTGGGTTCCAACAATGCCGGAACCATTGCGTCCATTCCGGTACGCGTAGAACTGATACTGATTGACGCCATGGGGAAGAACCTGCCCCGAGCGCCCCACAAATGTCTTTACGCTCGCCGTTCCTGTGCAGACGCCATATGACTACAGCTGGTGTACCAAGCAATGTTATCCTCACCATTAATGACGTCGGGCTCATTGACAGAGGTCACCATATCGGGCAGGTGATTGGGGAAGTGGAGGATGCTACTGAGCAGCTCCTTCAGCCCAGTCTTATATGCGAGCAGACGTCCTCTTGGGGAAGCTGGATACTCCTTGACTGATCATGTGTCCCTGGCACTCTCAGGAGCGTGAGTTATCTTAGTCACAGTTTGTGCTGCTTGCTGACTGTGCTGATAGATGCTTGACATGACATGATCTCATGCTTGTCCTCTGAGTCCCATTCTTCTTCGGGACATGCAAATGTGCTGAACAGATCATTCCATCGAGGCACTGTGTGAGGGCTTTCGTGTGTTACACAAACCATATGGCTGGTCTGCAGGTGCTCAACATGTGACTACTCATGAACCTTCAGCTGGAAATCCCAATCTCATTCCATTCAAATGGTTGGAGCTCACTAACTATTCTCATACAGTATGAGCCTGTAGCTGCATGGAGACATCAGTCAATTGTCAACATGGGCAATACCATTACAGGCCTGTATCATTAGTTACCCATCGGGGTTTTTGGCAAATACACATACCTGACATGCTACTGTAACGAGATACTACAATGAAACAGCAGCACTATCAAATATACCGCTATTACTGACGTGATTTTTTGGTTCATCTTCGAGCATCTGCAGAATGAAACGGGCATATTATGTCATTTAATTGACATCCTGCATCCAGGGATACAGCTCATTGGATCAAACAGCACCATCAACAAATACAACACAAAGCTAGCCTGCATGTCCAGCTGTTCATCTCACATCTGCAGAGCAAACATGCCTATCCTGCAATTAGACTGACAAATCGTCTCTGATATCGTCTCTGAATATACAGGTTTGCTAAGCCAATCTCACTAGCTAACTGCTACGCCTCCTGCGCTCACCTTTGACTCATGACAGTACAGTCAACGAGAACCCCCGAGGAACTGCCGAAAAGTCGCGACACACGACCTAGTGTGGGAACTGACTTCCTCTTTGCGCCAAATGCTCAGGAACAGAAATCCGGGAGTACTGTTAAATAAACGAGTCAGGGATGACTCGTAATTCCGCCGGGCCACTCGACGGCGACATCCACATCCTCAGGTGCGGCCCGGGTCACGACCTTGCGGCATTCTGTCTTCTTCGTGAATTTTGGGAGGGGGCGCTTCTGCCCAGCGAAAGCCAGGGGTCCGGGTGTCAGGACGGATACGTCACCCACGTGTGACTTGCGAGCGGGATGGACGATGGTTGGCGTTGAGGGTGTTTTCGGAGTAAGGTGCCGATTTGGCTGGGAGCGCGGCGCCATAATTGTCCGTAATCGAGCTCGCACAGAGTAGACCCTAAACGCGTATGCCTAGGGTTACTTCTGCACTTTGCTCGAGGGCGAGGGAGTGGGCGAACGGGAGATGATGTTCCGTGGTGGTGGTGGTGGTGGTGGTGGTCCCAGAGAGAGACATCCGAGCCACGCGCGAAGCTTCTCGTGTCTGGGAGTTGATGAATTCTCCCACGCACAGTTTAGAGCAGCTGCCAAACATTGCGGCGCACTAGCTTCCGCCTTCAAGCGGTACGTCGACGATCGAAGGGAGCCACTGGCAAGATATACTAAATAAGTATCATGTTCAGCCTCCCAACGCGCACTTGGGCCTACCGATGCCTGCTAAAATGATCATCTTATCTTCTCTAGCAGGCGTACCGTTCGCGATCGGGGCGCATATCGGAGAGACGCAAAGGTGGAGCAGAACATGGTGGCAGGGGAGTTGATGGTGGTGGGAGGGAGGGAAGAAATGATCTGAGAGTAAACGACACGATCAGGGCAGGCACGTGGGTATATGCGTGCTGGAACGTTGATGCTACCGTAGCGTCTCACGCGACTTCCATGATTCTCCCACCGACACCGTCGTTCCACCCGCCGCCATCTTGACCTCCAGCATCGCCGGCTTATCAGCCCAAGCACCCCCGGCCTGCAGACTTACCTCGTCGCCCCTGAGCATGCGCGCCCAGGGGCTGGCTGGTTGGTACTTTGCCTAGGCCTCGGAACGTACAAGTTGTTGCCATCCGGCGCGCTTCCTTTGCTGCCACTACTTTGCTGAGCTTCCCCCCACCGGACGCTGTTCTGGTTCCATGTACTCCGGCACCGCCTCTGATAGGCTTGCACATCCCCACTCAGTTCCCTGCCTCCCCAGCTTCTAATTATATCTATCTACACAGTTTTACGTATGCTTACAGGACTTGCCTCAATGTACTCATCTAAGCTTCATGACTGCGTCTACTGCTTTGATTGACTTGGAAAAACACTTCCTATCGGAACTACATTCATTACGATGTCTGGCTACTCGGACAACCAACGATGAAGGTCGGAACGTGTCACCATTATGAACTCGCGTGGGCGCTGAGAGTCGTTGGGATCTGTGCCTTCGATATCTTCGATCAAGAGGAAGGCTTCCAATTCAAAGTGGCCCAGTCTCCCGGACAGCATTTCTTCTGTGGTGACTCCAGCTATCGGGAATTCAGTCGAAAATTCCATGAAAATAATAGTATGCACGTACTGTTAACCTGCCGATCCGTGTCAATGTACTCTGCATGATTTGCAGCAAGGATCCATCGATCGTCCTCCATGTCTGCAAGCTGCGCAGAGAGACTACACAATCAGCCGGTGATTACACAGGTGCGAGCAAGCTTCGAAGTATGTGAAATACTTACACATCGGCGTTGCTGACTTGTCCCTGCCGGATAGCCAGCATGAGCTGGCGCTTCGACCACCATATGGGACCAAACGCCTTTGAACCATCAGATCACAGCCCGGCGACCACGCCATCTAACTTACTTTCCGTACAATTCGGTTGCCGGCTTCCAGCTCATACAGAGTGTGATCGAGAATGATGTACCAGAGCTCAGCTTGATCATCCTTCACCTGAAGACTGCAGATGGACAATAACTTCGATACAGTTAAATACAAGTCAAAGGTAATGACATACAGGTCTCCGGGTCCCATACGACGGTCTCGCGTGCGGTTTCCAAACGCATCGTGTGTGCGACTCAGATGCGAATCATCGTACGTGTCGCTGCCGGACTATCAGACCAGCACGGAGCCCAGGCGGGGATCGGCTTACGCACAAATATCCCTCATTCAAGAGGGCGACGTCATTCAAGAATTTGACAATGGGGGAGCGAGCGGTCATGTCACCAAGTTTCGGAAGACAGACTCACAGCAAAGCCGCCCTTCAGACGGACCGAAGGACCTCGGCAGTGAGAGCAAAGGCTCGTCTCGCGTCTCTGAGCTCCTCTACCGCGTGACGCCTCGTGTTTCGGGCCGGATCCGCAGGCGCCCGAATCGATGTAGAGCTTCCGGACTAGTATCTTGCGCCGGGTTTGCTACTACAGGCCTACTGTCTCTTGGAAGCAATGCATAGCTCCGCTGGAGAGACGTTACGGTCGCTCCAACGACAGCGGGCGCTTCCAGACGCGAGGAAGGGCTGCACGGCAGTCGCCCTCTATCCTGCCGTTTCCGCTCTTATCATCGACTGTCACGCACCAGTTCGGCTCCTTGAGTGAAATATATGGGCCGGGGAAATCACAAAGGTAGACATACACACGATCTGAGATGATCATAGACATACACGCAAGACGCCAGGTACAACTAAGATAGAGTTAAAGCAACCAGAAGACCTCCGCGAAACAAAGCCATTCGCAGTGAGTAGACAAGTGAACATTGCGCCATTCGTGTGTCCGGCTACAGTGATGGTCAATATGTATTTGAGCAATAAAGCTATGGCTGTGGCGCACGTGTCATTAAGTGTGAGCGGAAGGGTTGACTCTGGACGACTGGCCGCGCGGGGCTCCGGTGCCCTCCGACTGATAGTCGAACACCTCGAACTTCCGTTGTTTCGTCTCCTCCAGGACCGCATCGATGCCGGCAAAGACGTTTGCCATATTCTGCGCCAGCTTTTCCGCCAACTCTCCGGATGGGATAAGCCCTTGCGGTGACGAAGCGGACAGGTCCTGTAATAGCCCGTTATCTCTCAGACTCCTCAACTCCTCAATCTCCCGCGTAAGACGTTCATTAGCGCCACGAAGTACGCCGTTCTCAGCCAACAATGTTTCGTTCTCCGTCTTGAGGCGCTCATTCACCAACTGCAGCGCCTCTTTCTCCCGTTTGACCTCTGCGATCTCAGCCCGCAACAAATTATTGAGCTGTCAGATTGGTCAGCCATGCCACCAAATTTCTTCGCTGTGTCTAGGAGTCTCAATCATACCGACGTAGTCAGAGCAGGAGAAGGTAAATGTGAGCCCATCTGGGTATCGCCCATGGTCGTGGTTGTAGAGGTCTCGAGACGGAGTGTATTGTTTGGTGGCGGGATCGATCATCCGCCAAGTGGCATCATCCCATGTGATGCGATAAGCGCCCTCCTCCCTGCTGACGCCGTGTCGACGGTCCAATGCACCGCTCTTCCGACCACCAACCATGTTGACCGGCTCCCGTTCTGACTGTTCCCCCACTTTGCCAGGCCTACCGAACGAGCTCACTGCCGAGATCGCGGTTTGGGGCCAGCGCACATGGCTTGAAGAGAGATGCAACGCTCGCGCTGTTATCATTGAAACCGACCGCTTGACGCCTGTTGTCGTCGACCAATATGACTGTCGCGGTGTCACTGCAGGCGTAGTCAAGGGTTGTTTGGCAGATGGACCGCTCCTGCCGCAACAGCCGGCGCACGCACTCATGCACACTTCTTCCGGCCTTTCTCGTGCCTTGCGAGATGTTAAATCGGTCTGGGAAAGGACCGCCAATACCCTTGTGCACGCTGTGGCTTGCATGGCCGGGAAACGGGCCGTTCCACCCCCTGCGTTGATGAGCGCCGGTGCTCGATTCTCGTATCAGACCGACGTACTCGTGGCGGAAAATGTGTGCTCTTGCATTATCGCTGGGATTCAAGCGTTCTATCCCACCCTCCGCATCGTCAAGCTATCCCTCCCGTGGGCTTATGTCTCAGAGCTGGGGAAGACCTCCGTCTCCACGTTCTTCCGAGACCATCACAGTCAAGACGCCAGCCCTCTCGAATACTTTGACGTAGTGCTCCACGACGACGTCCATCACAATTCTGAGTTTCTATCGCCGTATCGCAGTCCTTCCTTGCGTTCCTGTCGCGTAGGGAGGACTTCGTTCTTCTTTTATGGGCCGTTACTGGAAACTCTGAATATCGCATTCTCCTTCGGGAGCAACAATTACCTTGGGCCCAGTTTTCTGAATGCCCTGATTCATTGCGTGCAACTACAGTTCCTAACTCTAGACGGCGGGTCTTGCGAAATCATAGAATCTGCCATGGGAGACGAGTTCTATGACGAGATGCCGAACGTGGTCAGTCTTCCGTCGCTTCGATATCTCCGCCTCGTATTGAGAGCGGACGTCGGAACCTTGTTGCTGGGGCGCCTGGACCTGCCAGCGGACATTGACGCCCATCTGGAACCGGTGACGGCGTGGCGCGCCGCGGCCGAACATAAAGAGGAAGTCAACTTCTCGTCCGTCCCTGGGGCTGCGATGCTGTGGCAATACGCGATGTCTCTGGGAGCGTCGGCTTGCACTCCCACGATTTTCAATCATCCCGCGCAATTCGCGTTGCCACCAGATGGTCTTGAAGAAGACATCATACGTGCCCTATCTACGGCAGTCATTAAAATTGTCATCGATCCGGTCTCTCTGCGCTCCGTGAACGAAAGCGATATGTTTCCCGAGAGCATCACCTTCATGCTAGCGGCTGGAATCCAGGATGCGAATGAGATCCTCAGGGATGCCACGCAACCGTCGACGCCAAGCCTACCAGGAGAAGGCAAGATACTGCTCCGACAATCGCTAACGGTCAGGGATGCAGCGGTTGCAGCGCATGATCGTGACCCGAGGGTACATCGTTGGCCACTAGGGCTTGGAAACATGCTGATTCAGCACATTGCCGACGTTCTTGTGTCCGGTTATGGGCGGACTTCTCAGCGCGGGCTAAGCAACATCACTAATATCATCGTGGACGGGACATTGTGGATGTCGCAGACGTGTAGCGATTGGGCGAAGATTCTGAACCCTTTCGACAACGCGGTCCACCTTACAATTTGTCGGCATGGGCACATAAATGTCGAGGCTCTAGTAGTATATCTTCAAAGCCAGGACGGTGCCCACCGACTTCCGAGACTTCAAACAATCGATTTACCGCTCTCTGAGCGGGGCACGGCAAACGGAACACAGTCGTATGTCCGGGAATTGGAGGCTAGTACTAATCAGTTGCCGCGGTTGCAAGCGGGAGCGCTGCGCATCCGATGGAGGGTTGGCCCATGAGTGAGTTGAGCCCCCTACATCCACCAACTCGCAAAACTGATGCGATATAGTGGGATGTCGGAGAAGATGGTATCGCTTCCTATGTGCCTATTTCCCTGCGTGGCTACTTGGAACTGAATTTCGTGAAACCCCTCATTTGAAATCTATGACATCCAGTTATAGCTACTCCCACGTGGGCTTGACTTAGAACCTCGTACGACAAAGCTCCGTGAAGTGTTTCTTGACGTTACAGCTGTAAGTAACGCGTGGCAATCGGGCTCTCGAAGCGTGGGAAGAACGCCCCGTTAAGCGATATAAGAGCTCGGCACTAGCCCCCTTTGTCCCGCTTTCACTCCCGCCATCATGGCCGACGCCCTGACTGCTCTACAACTCATGGATGATTGCGCGAACTACGCCGTCGACTGCTATATCAAATCCCTGGCCAATTCCCTTCAGCTGCCCTGTCCTTTACCCGTCACATCAGAAGAGATTCCTAAGGGCTTCCTCGCCGAACTTAGGATGCTGGCATACCGAGCGTCTGAGGCGGTCCAAAATCCTAGTCAGCAATCTACTTCCACGGCATATTGCAGAGCTGCGTACTGACGCCGCTGCCAGTTGAGCTTCCATGGGATAATCTTACGTATGGCACGGCAGTGGGCGGCCAGAACGGCGGAAATGCAGCGTTTGAAGCCGCCCTGCAAGAGGGTTTCCCGCCGTTGGAGCCTGTCCGCGTTATTTCTGATCCTGCAACAATCGTGGATCCTAGAGGAGAGGCGATTGCCTGGCTTTTACCCAACGCGATTACGGAGGAACGTCAGGTAATTGGTACCTCCGTATTGTGTACGGTCTGTAACTTACTGGAACCATTCCCAGGATCAGATAGCCCAGACTGCGCCCTTGCTGGCTGACGCTCTGAATGCCCATCCTCCTAAAGTACCTGACCCAGCACGTGCTCCCAAGGATCCGACTGCGGCGTGGCGGAACTCGGAATATCTCTTTGCTGTGGAGGACAGGCCGCTCTACTTTGGCCGTGGTTCCACGACATTATCGCCTGCGTGGATGGCGCAAGGTTTGGAAGTGAGTCTGATAGTTTCAACATTTGAGGCGGTATCTGTGCTGATTCGGCCAGGGCCTGCTGGATCCTCTATACGTGTCACGAGACCTTGCCGCCAAGCCAGGCAAAGCAGATAGTAGGCGTCAACTGTCGGCGCAAGCTTGGATCGGTGAAAACATTGAACTGGGCCTGCTGTTATCTTCCGCCCTCGCCATCACGCATCCGGAACAGTACTACGAGACTAAACAGTCGTTGGCTATACTCGCGTCACACGAGCCGCACTCCCAACACCTGCAGACATGGACATTCGCTTTCAACGTGGTCACCATTATTGCTAACCGCATGACCCCGCTACATCGTGATCGCGCAAGTGGGGCTCGAGAGCTGTACGACGTGCTTTTCACCCTGGGAGGCGACAGACATACGACTTTGTCGTTGCCAGGCCTTGGCGTCCGCTTCCAATACGATTCAGGCGCTGTGGCCTTATTCTCAGGCTCCACACATCTACACCACGTGTCCCCATTCGTAATGGAGCACCTTTGCATCGCCTGCTACTCACGCCCGGCCGTCCAGGCCAAACTAGGTCGCCGTCACCCTCAGGCTCCCACTGTCGCTGGAACTATGCCGGAAGGCTGGAGCGAGGCGCTCTGGCGCCAGCGCAACTACTGATGGGCAGGGCCCCCTTATGCCAGGAAGAAGCAAGGCCTTGGATAGTATCTATATATTTGAACACTGCCGCTACGTATCTGCTACAGACCCGTCACCCGCTACCTATCTTCCTACAAATCAGATGAAATAATATTTTCCACTTCGGCATTGAATGCAGTCTTAGCCTTCGCCGCCAGATCCAGCCATGCATGCATCATCTCCAGAGCATGAGCACGTAGCCCCGCGTATTGATCGACTCCCTCCATTGGAACTGCAGGCAACTTAACGTGTCGACCCTTCCAGGCGTTGGCAAGAGCAGAGTAGCCAAGGAAGCAGGTCTGCATCTCTCCCTCCAGCATATATACCTCTTCTTCGCAGCGAACGTAGGAGCATCGCGCGTTGATCCATCGAGTTCTGAAAACTGTTCCTGTCAGCGCATAGTGCATTGGAAGAACGGATGAGATATTCACAATCGCCGATGAACGTCTCGTCATCCACTTCCTCGGGCGCGTCGTCAACTTCCATGGTGTCCAGATGCCGGCGACCCACCCTCCAGAACCACGGTAACTTGAATTTACCTCGCGTCCGTGTGTTGTTGTACATGTCGTAGGTAGCGGTTGTGCACTGGATGTCTTCGGGACGCAGAGGGCGGTATTTGGCTAACAAGGCCGCCTTTCGCTGCTGCGATTCTTCATCATCCTCCCAGAACAGCCTTGCCAAGCGCTGGACCCCGTGATTGTACATCGCAGCATGCACTCTTACGTCCTTGTTCTGCTCGCGCGTGTGCAACCAGGCCCGTTTTCTAGCGAGGTAGTTATTAGAGTTTTTGCCCTTGCTCTTGTTCTGGCGCAATTGCAGGCGGTAAGATTGCGCCTGGTCGACAGCGCCTTCCATGATCTTGCGAATGCGAAAGTCAAGTCTTGCAATCCGTAGTTCGAGCTCTGCATTCACGGCCCGCCTCTCCGCATCGGTGGTTCCTTCTTTCCGCCGTCCCACTTCCGGGCGAGCCGACGGCAAGTCGACTGGTCTATATTCCGCAAAAGGTCGGAGATTGTACGGATGGGCCACCAGATTCTCGTCATCCCATTCGTCTTCGGGAAGGAGCTTGGATAGCCTTGATACCAGCAAGTCGCTATCTGGAACGTCGCCCAAAGCAACAGCCATATCGCGATTGGCCTTCTGACGACGGTTGTTGAAGCGCGACCGGGCAATGGCAGCAGTACGACGGTCGTTAGCAGACGTTCCCCAGCGGTCACCACGAGACTGCATCTTCAACCTAATGCGACGCATCAGCATTGTAACGAGACGCCTAGTTCTCGTACCTACGCTTCTTCTTCGAGCCCGAGACTGGCTACAACAACACTGACAACTGCTGTATCTCTATCACTTCGATTCTCTTCCTCGATTAGTCGGGCCTCGGTGTCCTTTGGTTCGGGGCCTATGTCAGGTCATTTCAACAGCCCTGGACATCGAATGCTCTATCTCACCTTGATCGACGATATCTGGCCAAAAGTCGTCAGCAGAGTATGGATCTCGCATGCGCTGAACCTCCATCTTGACTCTCTCTCTTTCCCAGCGCTCCATGTCGCCCTCGTCGCAAGACAACGCCAGCCGTTGACAATGTAGATTGCGCTCATGCAGCTCCTGTGAGAATTTTCGGTGCTTCCGGACAAGGGTTTCGACTGCTCAGATCAGCACAAGTAGAAGGAGCCTGACGAACAAGCGCACTGACCCATTCTGATGATTTTCCCGTGATTGACATCGTTCATATGCATGTTAATCTTCTCCTCTCGGGCTGCCAATGACATCCCTCTGCACGATTGCAAGATGGAGTTAAGCAAGGCCCACAGAGTCTCGAGAATCTCGCCATCCACGATGCCAGCGCGAGGCGAATAGATGGGCGCGAAGCGCCGGTAGCACTCAAAAACATGACCGTATATGTGCCACACGCCCACTCCTTGCAAGAGTTCGCGGAACTCAGGCCATTCTAGGCCACTGTATTGGAAGCGTTTGCGAAGATGAACTCCATACCGGCACCAGATATCGTAGAGAAGCTGCACACGGCGGATTTGTTTCGTGATGGTATGCTCGAATGCTGTAGACAGACTGAGGTCCACGGGATGTGCTCTGTAACGCCAGTCAAGTTCCGGCGCACATGTAGCAGGTCGATATCGGACTCACGCTTCACCAAGATCGAAGTTATTTGTGCCATTGGCACATAAGCATCCGTGCCGTGAGCAGGCCCAAGATCCAATGCCTTTGATGTCCACCACCCTACTTTTGTTCTTACCGACAGTAGCGGCGGCCTTGTGCTGATGGCAAGGTCGGTCTTCTTTGTCCTGTTACCGGGTCAGCGACTTCGGACGGCAATGACGTGATCAAGTGATAAAACTGACGAGGTCAGGAATGATACGTTTTAAGGCCTTATCATCCACGGCATGTTTCATATGCTCTTCGACCGTGTCTGGGTGGTTGAAAAATCCGGTCCCAGGAAAGAAAGGTACGTTATTGCCAGGACAACGAGAGATAGTATGATCGCCGCTGAAGTTGCCATCGTAGCACATCGAGACGAATAATCTCCATTCTTCCGGATCGACTTCCCACTTCCGGGGGAGATTGTTGAAGTCGGCGGTCTTACGAGGACACACTACACACTTCCAGACGAGACCTCCAGATGGAGGATCTGCCCAATCCTCAAGCGTTTGAGTAGCAAACCCAAAGTCGATGATATTCTGGACGGCAGTGTACTGTCTTGAAACCAGATTCAGCTCGTGATAACGGTTCTGTGATCGTGACAGGGTCATCATCAATTCTTGCAGATTGAAGTCGCGAACGTACGGGTGCTAGACGCGGTTCTTGGGGCTCTGTACAGCGACGCAGTTTGCGCATATAGGACTGGGCGGAAGTCTTACAGACTACATCATCCACGGCACGATGCTCAAGCCCCTGCAGCGTGAACGCCGTAGATGGATCGTCGGGCGATGCAGGAAACAGGCCACCATATCTCAACAGCTGTTGGTCAACTGTAGGCGCACCAGGGCATCTACAAACCGCCACTCCGATGCCGTGGATGCTATCCGAGTGAACGATGATCATGGTCTTGAATCCGTACAGGTCCTTCGTGGGAATTGCCGACCTGCCCGCCTGCCGCACCATTCCCGGACTGTCGGAGTATCGCCCATCGGAACCGCCGAGCCGCTCGTCGTCATCGTCTAGTGGTCCCAGTTGCTGGAAGTCATCGGAAGTCGAAGGTGGCGATGGCATCTCCAGAACCTCAAGCTCACCCTCGTCCAGACCGCGGAGACTCTCTAAGCGCGTGACGTCATCGTCTGGATTGGGAGCCGTCATGGGGTCTTCTTCCGAGTGCCGGCGCGTACGACTGCCCTCCTCCTCTGCCGGGGCGGAGTAGCTACTATACGCAGGAGGTTCCCGAGCGTCGATCCCTGCCAAATCAGGGTCGAGACCTGGATTGTATGGACAGTTCCCGAGTGCGCCGTCATCCCCACATGTCGCATTAGGGCATAGACTGAGTGTAACTCCTGCATCTCTCAACCAGGCCTTTCGGTAGTGTTGACCAGTCCACCAGCCGACAAGGTGGTACGGGTTCCGCCAGTGATGAGCCCGCAAACAACAGGTGCAGAAATCCCTACGGACAACACAATGCGCGCATCTCCACTTGCCAGTTCCTCGCGTCCCACATCCACTGCACAACAGTTCGGCTGGCGGGGCATGCCGAAATGCCACTATCAAGTGAGAGTACGCCCTGGCTAAATTCGCACTCTCAAAGTGAAGCATGTAATCCACATATGTCTGCCGCCTGTGAGTGACAGTGTCTAATCTGGGTGCTCAGGTAGACTCACCTTGCCCTGGCTGGTTCGTTCGTTATTCTCCTCCCTGCGAATCCGTGCTACATCGTCTTCATTCAGGGGGAACCCATGCTCGTTCAGCATCGTATCCTCGTCAAGATTTTGCAGAATTCCGGCGAAGTTCGTCCTCGTTGCGGAGCTGGTAGCGTCTGGTGCCTCGGGCATCTGCTCGCCCGTAGCGACTCGAGATTGAGAGACGACAGGTCGCGCGGTGACCTTGATAGAACGGGACTCCGCTCTCCGCCAGACGTCGCCGTCGTCGCCAAAATCAGGTTCATACGCAACGACCTTTCTCTTCTTGGCGGGCTGTGGCAGGGCAGCAGCGACCAAACGATCTCCTGGGGTTCCCCGGCCATGAAAACGCGCCGAGAGACTGTTTGCAGCGCGAGTGTTATTTGTGGAATTATGTACATAGCCCTGAGACATGACGGCGGCAGTGAAGAGAAAGACGAGCGAGCGCTGCAGTTAGCGCTGTGTAGTAAGGCACAGTCACTGCCTGAAGCCGAACAAACCTGTCGGCGCTGATCAATTTCGTGCCCGTCAGCATATGGGAGGCGATACTCAGTCGTCAGACTTTCCACGTAAACGATCAATGATGATTATCGCCATCTGAGACAAACAAAATGTGAATGTAAGGGGGAAAGTAAGGTAAGCAATCAGTCAGGATCACTTGGCCCGAACAATCGCTCCCAGGTGGTGTTTGCTACTGGTATGTGGCCTGGCTCGCAGAAGACAAGACGCGGAGACCGATGTATGACCTCGAGATGACGGCAGCTCGGGCAGTGGTAAAGAGGGCCGATGCGGTAGGCCCATAGAGATAGATCAATCCAGGTGCCATCCCATTCAGGGTGTTGGCGAGCGTAGCGACTTCGCTCCGCGTTCCAAAGACGCAGGAGACACTGCGCACAGAATTCATGCCAGCATTGAATCCTGACAATTTCGACGTGAGCCACGGTATCATAAATGACGATGTCTCAACGTACCGGTAACAGGCCTCGACACATGGGCGCCCACAAGAATCGCAGACATAACCCCCGGGGCGCACTTGCTGGAAGCGCAACCGACTTGAATACCTCAATTCCTCGTAGAAAGCTATATATACCTTGCGAACATTTCCAGGCATAGATTGCATCCAGGATGTTGCGCTAAAGGCAGTAGTCTGGGCGAGGTTGGCGCTTGCAAGGCGCGACATGGTATAAAAGCAATCCCAGCCACAGGCAACTTCCATCTACCGTGGATCACAAGGCATGTACCATGTGAGGGACGTACGCCCTTATCTTATCGATGCTGGAAGTCGGGGCTTTTGTCCCTAAGTATACCTTGCAATCGCGTTGCTCAACTTCCCAGGAACATCACCATCAGCGTTGATCGTAAAGTTCATGATATCCACTCCTCGCATATCATACATGACGCATCAGACACAGGTAGAGACCGCGAGAATCAGAGAAGAGTATTTACACATCGGAACAGTATTTACACAGAAATGAAGTAAGGGCCGGGGATGACCAATAAGGTTGACGAGAAAGTCGCTTGGCAGACTGAGCCCAACGACCTCAGTTCGGCACCACTGGTTGCTGCAGAGCGGCGATCATGCGCTTGTGACGGCTCTCGGAGGCGTCGAATTTACCTTATGAGAAGCATGAGCATGAATAATCTGGCAACAGTGATGAAATACAAAGCTCACGGTCTAATGTTATCGTCAGCTGAGAGAAGCATTCCGAAACGGCGCCTCTGAGAGCGGCCGTCTCGGCCTTCAGCGTATGATCGATCTTGTCGAGATGGATACCGAGTTGTTCGACGGAGTGGGCGTTGTCCGTAGTGACTGCCTGGTGCGCAGCGACCTTCTTACGTTGCTCAGCGAAGGCGGCGGTCTCGCGTGCAAGGGCAACGTTCATGTTCACGAGTTGGTCCTTTATATCCTGCCCTGAGAAAGTATTACTAATCATGGCCGCGACATCGGATCAATGACATTGGACTCACAGACGTGGCGGACCGGAACTTCGCTGTCGCCCGACATAGCGGCCGACGTGGCAGACGAGGACCCACTGGACGTCTGAGAGGTGGATGAGGAGGAGAGCGTGGAGCCGTGCGATGTGGCGCCGTCAGAGGACATGGCGGTCGTAGACAAGGCGATGTCTCACCGGTCCAATCCCGCAACCTATATATAGGGGAGAGCGGATCACACCGGCCCGGGCCAAATTTGTATACTGTTTCACCTTTTGCGGGTCAAAGGGCAAACCATGCAGGCGGCCAGTGGAGAACTGCATTGTGGTCTCCAGACCTCCACGCTCGGTGCCTTGGGCATAGCAGGCCAGTCCTGTCCGGCAAAGCCGGTGCCCACCGGTTGGCTCGGGAGAGTGCTGAATGTTGAAGAACCTTAATCGAAGAAAGAGCAGTGTACGTGACCGATTGTCCTGTTGTCGGCACTAACACCTGCCGGCAGTCCTACAGAAAACGTCAGCAAGTGCGGCGTCATGACTTCGCGTGCTGGGTAGGCTGAGAGGCATGAAAGCTGGAACGTAAGACCAGTCATAGGGTAGGGATATAATCTATACGGGGATATCAGCAGACTGCCTCCCATTGCCCTCACGGACAACTCGTATCCGTGGAAGGGAGAGCGTGTCCGTGTGCTTGGCTCGGCGTTCACTAGGACCGATGATCGTATTAGTCTCATAGGGATAGCGGTGTAAAGAATCACACATCTGGAGCTTGATCCATATTGACCTGGTCTTCGTTAAGCCGCCTTGCGCCTTCTGACCTCTCGAAGTGCGCCGTGGTGTCGGAGGACTAACGAATGGAACGCCGATGGCGCACCTCTAAACGTGTACGATGCGTGTTCGAGACGTTCTTCGCACATGTATGGCCGCCGGTGACCGCGTCTGCAGAAATGAACGCCCACTCTCGGGTTTCACCGCAGGGCCGTGGTGGGGGGAGAAAACCTGGAAGACGGAGGCAGCTGGTACATTGTGCCTGATGGTTCGTGTTGCACGCGGCGTCTCGGCTGCTTCCGGACGCCTCTCACGACGCTGTATAAGATGGCCAGATGAGATCGGACGGGCGTCCTCGCTTCGCGATACAGACCCTCCGCCCTGCGGAGCTTCCACCCATGCTTGGTCTTATTCTCCCACCTCTGTTTACGTGCAGAAGATCTGCAGTGCTGCTTTCCACGTACGTCTGTCCTTTGGCGCTCTGCACTGGGAGTCCCCAGTTGAAGGAAGCTGGTACAGCTCCCTCTTGTTGTCTAGGCAAGGCTGTAGCTATCGCAGCTGCTCATGGGCTAAGCTGAGGGGTACGGATATGAGAGCAGGGAGGTCTCTCCGTCTCCTGTGAGCGGAGGAAGCTGACTCGCGATGGGTTCTTGGTGGAA